GGGGTGGTGTCCTGTGAAGCCCCACAGAGCCTCAAGCTGAGGAGGACCCCAGCCAAGGTATGGATAGGTTGTTTGGGGTCAGGTTTCTGTTCTGTGCTGAGATGTGATGTTGGTCACATCCTACTTCTGCATGGCCTCTCTTCTAAGATTTCACTCCCTTCCCTGGACATTTGCCTGTCATCTGCCTAGCAAATGGGCCCATCCCCAGGGGCCAGGATGGCTTAGAGCTCTTCCTTATCCAGGTCCCTGGTCCCCTGGGACCCAAACAGGCACATATCAGAATGCCATAGTCCTGGGAGGTCACCTGACCCCAGAGTAGATTGGTTAGATTCAGGAGCCTCCAACCTCTCTGAGCAACCACCCCTGGTGAGCACCAGTCATGGCTCTGCAACCTAGGACACAGTTCAGTTCTGGGTCCTAGTTTCCATGGGTAGAAATGGGAGATAATGAGGATGAAATGAGTTGATGTGTGTAAAAATACTGGCTCAGGACCCCTCATATGTGGTCAGTGCTATCCCTCAGTTTATTTAAGAAAATAGAGCTGACTGAGATCAAGGTGGGAGAGGTATAGGGTGGAGTCAGCTTGTGTTGAGAATCCTTCCTTCCTTCTCCACAAAGACACAAAGAGTTAACCTCCCTCTGCCCCCTCCTCATCCTTTAAGGAGAATGGTCCTTTACAGGTGAGCTGTAGTTGCCTTGGAGACGGAAGCCTCAGGCGGGGATAAGGTGGGGGGTGGGATGAGCTGAGTTGGGCTGAGACACACTCTCTTTCCTTAGGGAGGGGTAAGGCAGAGCACAGAGGACCAAGCAGCAGTGTAAGATTTCTGGGCCCCCAGGTACCTGTGGGGGCTCCCTTGAGCAGCCTCCTCCATTTATTATCTAAACAACTCAATAGGTTACTTACAGCAAGGCTCCCACCTCTGCTAGCAGCTCCATCACCATAGAAACCCACCAGCCACAGCCTGGGGGGGGAGAGTGAGGGGGAGTCTTAAAGGGACACAGTACATGGGATGTAGGTGACACCTACATCTTTATGTCCACACTGACAGGCACAAAGTCTGCCACATGTCCCTCCCCTTGTGTGCTGGCCGGCCTGAGCATAGAGACCTGCCACCCACACTCTGACCCTCAAGGCTCTGAGCCACCATTCCTGGCCCTACTCTGACCCAGTAGGTTACCAGGCTCTGCCATTCCTGATAGACATCAGGCAGGAGAGCCTGGAAATTCTTTGCTCTGCTCTTGATGGCCTTCTTGCTGCTTCTGTGAGAAGGCACCCCAGCAAGACTAGGATGCTAGCAGGCATGTGTGTTGTGTGCACACACAAGACACCCTGGAGGTTCCTGGTGTGTGTGTGCGCACGTGTGTGCCCACGTGCACAAGCACCCACTGGCTCATTCAGGGAAGGAAGCAGCTGTGTCAGGTCTCAGCCAGGCTCTAGGACTTCCCAGGTCCCTCCCTGGCACTGGCTTCAACTCAGACTGAGGCTGGCAATGTAGAGAGGACCTCCTAGGGACCTAGGGTACAGTGAGACCAGAGTGGGGCTGGGCTGGGGTTCCTGTGAGGCTTCCCACAGACCTTCCTTTAGGCTTTGTGGTCCAGAACCTCATCTCCTGGCCTTGTCCCCCTCAATGCCTGCCACGCCCTTTCTCCCTGCCTACCCAGTTCTGCCTGTGAACAGGACCCCCACATGAGGCAGGGTGGATAGGTTTTAGGCTGGACCCACTCAGGAGCAGCTGCACCTTTGTTTTGCACTCCCCCTGCACAGTGGTTGGTGCACAGTCAGCGCATGTGCATGCACGCACAGACTCACACACTGACTGCACAGACTCACACACTGACTGTTGTGCCTGTGAATGCACCTCCCCCAGCCAGGCGGCTGCTTACTTCACACACAGACAGCAATCTTGGAAGGATCTACTGAGATCCTCTGGGTGCTTTTCCCTCCTCCACCCCTCCTCCCTGCAGGAACCTCCACCTGTTCTCTAGTGCTTGCGGGTCCAAGCAGTGGGTCATTCATCTTGTCTTAACAACTATCCTCTTGCCCCAGTGCCACAAGTGGGCAGGGACTTGCTGCTCTTTCGCTGCGGGGCTTTGTTTGTCTCTCTGGCTCCAGCGCACAGCTTGGTCCACTCTCTGTCTATTCCGCCCTGCTTGTCTCTCCAGCCTGACCTCCAAGCCAGAGAAGTTCCTCTCCACCCATCCAGGCTCATCTTCCCTTATTCCCTGCCCCTTGCCAGGCACACCCCCTGGGGACAAGGAAGCTGCTGAGGCTCCATTCGCCTGCTCAAGCAGAGCAGACGTGGGCTTGTGTGCGCTTGCGTGCACACGCCCACCTCTCACTCTTCTTGCTCATTCTGCCATTTCTCAGTGGTGCTTTCTGCAGCTGTCTCTCACCTTTGTACTCTTTTTTTCCTTTTCTTTCCATTTCCCCACCAACTGGGCCTCTAGCTGAATATCTCTATCTTGGTCATCTCTTGCTAATTAGGGTCTTCCAATGGCTGTCTTTGTCTCCTCTTCCTGGCCCCACTTCCCAGCCTCTCCTGCTCCCTCCTGCCTGTTTCTCACTCTGTCTGTCACCCTTGGCAAATGGGGCCTTGGCTCCATCTGTGGAATACTCCACTCCCCTCCTCTGCTCCTTTGCCCTCGGTGGTGGTGCTGATGGGGAGTCGGGCCCTGCTGAGCTAACAACCTTAGCTTGCTCTGTAATTGCCTGAGCAGTGGTGAGAGATCAGAGAACCAGCAGCAGTGAGAGGGGAGGAGGGGGAGCCCCCTCCCAGCTGTCAGGGGCCTCTCAACCTTCTGGCTCCTTCTTGCCTGTTTCTGAGTACCTAGGGCAGTAGCAAGTGGGGTGATAAATACCAGGACACTGGAAAAGAGGCTGGAGTTGAGATGTGGCCAGGAGGAGGCAGAGTAGGGGTCATGGGGTTGGGGATATTGTGCTTGCCCTGCATATACCCCAGTATACATGCCAAACATCATTCTGGGAACCTCGATTTGGAGGACAAATGGAGGAACTATAATGGCAAACACCATCAGTTCCACACACAGCATCAAAGCCTCCTCACAGGCAAAAGGGTCCTTCTTTGAGTTTCCCCTTGCTCCAGTTTTCCTCCCCTCCCCCTTGTAAGACCAGTGCTCAGAGCTCCCAAGGCTGCTGTTTGATCGCCTACTCTCTGATCTGTATCTCCTACTGCTTCCTACAGGCCTTGAAGTCAAGGCCAAGGCCACTTGGGGCTGGCCCTGATTGCATGGGCTCTGTAGGGGGAGGTGTTAGTAGAACAGATCCACTGTTCTCCTCTCTTCCGGCCCCAGCTCAGCTCTTGCAGGTGGAGAATTGGCCACCCCTGCACCACTTCCTACTCCACGTCATTCTCTTGGTCTCTACACCATCCTGGTGCTTTTCCACCACACTTACCAGCTCTGGCTGGGGAAGTCCGAGAGCTTCAAGCTGACTGCCACTCTACCATCTGTCTTCCCTGCCCAGTCTGCAAGCAATATACTACAGTCATCACTCTTCTTGGGTCATCCCCCTGTTACACAAAAATGATTTGTGGCTCCTTGTTGCCTCTTGCTAGAATCCAGATACCTTGGCGTGGCATTCTCCTCTTGGTGTTTTAGATGAGGCTCGGTTCTTCGTTTGGTTAAGGTCCTGGCTGGGCACATGGGAGATTACAATATGGCTTTGGTGACAGCATCCAGACCAGTGCTCTGGCCTCTCAGCTCTCTGTTCCAGCCTCTCCCACACTTTAATCACACTGGTTTCTTTTCATATCCCTTCCTCTTATTGTGGAATTAAAATAGCCTGTCCTCTTGGGAATCTGTTTCCTCTTCTGTTCATTTTCAGAGAGTCCCCCACTCCTGGACCCGAGTTTTGGGCCCATTTCATGCAGGTGAAATGTGGCTGTGTCTGGTGTTTCTTGGACTTAGGGTAGATACATCTAGCAGTTGAGGTCTGAAGACTCAGCAAAAGGCCCAGAAGCTAGAACTGCCAGACACTTGAGAGGTGTCAGAAACACTGTCTTGTAAAAATGTCCCAGAGCTTTCCCTGACCCCTGCCCTGACCCTGGCCTGGAACATCTGGAAGTGAAGAGGCTATAGACACCCCTGTTTCCCCTGAGGGAACTGGAGCAGCAGGGAAGTACTTTCCTCTTCCCCCCCACTCTTTCACTGATTCCCCAAGGGGCAGACTTCCTTCTCCATTTTTTCTTCTTTTTCCTGAGCCTGTTCTGTGAAATGTAGCCATCTTGGGTGCATTTGCTCTCTTGGTCTATCCCAATTCCCAACCCCCCTGTCAGATTTTAGGTACAAATAGCACCCAGGGATCAGTTGACTCTGAAAGCCACAGGAATGGGACTACAGAAGAGCTCTTTTCTACACATGTGCACACGTGCTTATATGTGCACACAGAGATAGCAGACATGGTGATTCATCACCCACAGATACATAAAGACATACAAGAAGGCACACAACACACACACCAGACCTGTGTGTTGATTCCCTCAGATAGACATGCCAACACATGCCGTTCATGAGTGCACTCCCCTCCCAGAGAAGACACAGGTTCTCATGCATGTGCACATGCAGCCACATAAATACGGATGTGCATATTTGTCTTCTCCACATGCAGATCCGCATCCACACATATTCGCATGGACACCTGTGCACAGGCACATCGAGAGACACATGTGGATGGTGTGCACAGAATTGCTAGGTGGTATGCACAGGGAAGCTGATTGGGGCAACAAGTTGATTCTGGGGAAGCAGCTGGCAGGGAAACTGCAGAGTAAGAAGGGTATGAAAAGCAACCTGCAGGCCAAGCCAAGGCTGTCTCAGCTTTCTCCTTCCAAGGTGCGGGAGAAGAACTGGGAAGCCAACGGGTGGGGGCGGGGCTGGGGGCGGGCCAGGAGCCTGGGCTCGCCCAGATGTTAGTCACTAACGTCCATCCCATCCTTCTCGCTCTCTCCTTTCCCACCGTGCCCTTTCCTCCTTCCTTCTCCCAGTGCCTCCACCCGCAGCTCCCGCCTCAAGCCGCCCACCAGCCCCCCCTTCCCTCTGGCCGGAGCGTGAGTTGAGCCGCCGGCCTGTGCCTCGCCAAGCTGCCAGCGCCACCGGGAAGATGGTCGTGGCGCTGTGGTACGTGTGGCCTCTCCTCTTCTGTAGCCCCTGCCTGCTCATCCAGATCCCCGACGAATGTGAGTAGCTGGAGGGAGCCTCAGCCCTCCCTTCCACTGTGGTGGGTCCCTCTTTATCCTTTACCTTCTCTTCCTTCTGGACCCTCACCCCTCCTTTCCTGGGTGCCGTGTAAGCAGGAGGTGCCCAAGACACTGAGTACCTCTGGAAAAAAGGGCAGAAAGCATGGAGGGTGTGAGCACCGCGGATAGGCACGGTGGCCTTCTGCGGTTTCAGCACCACGGACAGCGGTCTGGACACGGGGCTGCTGTCAGCCTCCTTGGCGCTCACCCTCAGCCTATCCCACCCCTTCCCACTCAACTCTGACTCTTCTACTTCCACCCACCTCACACCCCAGGGGTGTGGGGACCAGAAAAATGGGACACTCCAGAGTTTTCAGCTAGCTTGTTCAAGGCCTGCATTCAAGTCTTGCTACTGTTTCTAAACTAGGTATTCCCAACCAGCTCTTTCCTTGGACATTTGATAGCCCTGTCTCTGAACTGAGACAGGAAAAGGCACGTTGAATACAACAGGTCCCTGCCCAACAACCTTATGGATCCTTTTTTATTTATAGTTATTTGGAGGGCATGGGGTGGGGCTGCTGGAGCAAGTGTGTATGATTATACTATTTGTTTGGAGAGGTCACAGGTAGGGGTGTGGGTACTGCAGTGTGGTTGGTTGTAGAGTTGTGAGTACTTGTGCATGCTTATGAGTTGGACAGACCAAATATCTGTGTGTGCAGTTGTGACTAAATTGAATATTTGTGAATGTGATTTTGGTTTCTTATGTGGGTAAGTTTGGAAGTTACTATAATTGTTATTTTATTGGTCAGGTTTGTGAGGGTCTGGAGGTATTTGACTGTTACATTTGATTGTAGTGGATTGTGTGAATGTATGAAGCTGAATGTGTGTACATACTTTTATGTAGGGTGTTACCACTGTGATTTTTTTCTGAGTGTAAGCAAATATAATAATAATAAAAAAGCATTTGGAGGGTATTTCACAGTGTCATGTGTGAGGGCACCTGTGGATCTTGAGTTCCCAGGCTCCAATCCCTTCCCTACCTCACTTTGCTACTTTTGTCTCTAGCCTGGACATGGAGAGACCAGCTGGGGAGCAGGGGTAAGAAAGTCTGCCAGGAATGGGACAGGGGCTGAGAGAGATAGGCTTGGGAGGTGCCTGGCATCAGGGACCATGGAGAGTTTGGAGGAGATAAAGAGGGGCTCGTGGGACACATGAGTCAGATGAGCCAGACACTTGTTCCCATCAGGCAGACGTGTGAAAGGGGCAGGACTCTGAGAGACCACATCAACAAAAACACAAACAAGTGAGGTTTGTTACACACAAAGGAGCATCATCTACACAGACATGGCAGTGGATATAGACACAACACTATACCCTGAAATTCAGCCACACATAGGCAGATCTGAAGACATATTCAGGCAAGGCCTAGCCATATACATACACACAAATGGATACTGGAAAAAACCTACTGCAATACACACATTCCAGGACATCCACATACATGCCCAGACCCCACTTTTGCATTCATACACATGTACTGGTTTTCCTTCCTTCCCTGCCTTTTCTCAGTTGCTTTTCAGGCCTGCCTCCAGGTCTGAAATGCCAGGGCCTTATCCTGGGTATTAGCCTGCCCTTCCACCTGATGGGTGAGCATCTTACTTGAGTGTGTCTATATGTGGCAGGGGCGGGAGAATTTAACAGAAAGGAGAATTTAACAGAAAGATGGCAGTGGGGAGAGAGAAGTAGGCCAAAGATCACAGCAAGTCCAAGGCTGCCCTGGGCACTGACCCTGATGTTATATACAGGGCAGCTGTGGTGCCTCCCTATTAGAACCTGTCTTTCCAGCCATGCCAGCCCCTTTGTCTCTTTTCCTTCTTTTTCCAAAGAGCTGATTTCCCCCATCTTGTGGTCCTCATCGTTGTCTTGCTCTCAGGTTGCCTACACTGGCCTCTCCTTAGCTCAGGGCCCTCTGCAGTGTCCCTGGGGAGCCCCCTCCTCTCTTTTGGGGTCCCTTACACTGAGGTCTTCTGCAAAGACAAAGCTTTCAGAGCTGATCCACTATTCCCCTGTTCTGACTGCCCTCCCCATTCCTTCCCTCCCTTCCTCCCTCCCTGCCTCTGCTTTGCTGAGTCCTGGGACTAGGACACTTGCTCTGGCCTCTGCCCCAGGGAATTTAGTGGCCAGCTGGGAGTATGGTAGGAGAGAGAAGGAGGGTTGGCTCCAGCCCTGCAGGCTATGGAGACTCAGATGCATTAGGGCCTTTGGGAGGGTTTGGAGGGGGAGGGGCTGTTGGGCTCTGGAGGCTGGGTCTGGGTAATTGAAAACACTGCGCTGTGCTAATTGGATTAGGAGGGAAGTGGGCTGGAGCAGGGGAGGGTGCCCTAGCTGTGGGCTGTGTGTCTCTCAGCCTTTCCAGGCATCCTGGGTGTGGTAGGGATCCACTCTGCAGGCCGTAGAAGGCCTTGCCAGGGGGCTTCAAGAACTATTATTTTTAAAGGCAAGAATTTCTGTCCCCCTGTACCAATATACCTGTGTCTCTGTCAGAGGAGCCTCTCCCTGGGCATTGTTCTGCCTCAGACTGTCCCCTTCCACTGCTGCATCCCAGCACCATAGCCTCCTCCCTGCTCCTTCCTCATCCCTGGGGTCTGCTGGATCTCACCTCCTTAGCCTTAGGTCCTATTGGAGCTATCTCTCAGCATTCTCCTCCCTTCTCTCCCTTGCTGCTTGGATTTCTTAGATGAAGGACACCATGGTAAGTTGGAGGAGGGTTGGGAGTGTGTCCAAGGACAGAGAGAGGAGGGGCCTTGGGCTCAGCTCTCCCTGTGTGCCCTGTGCTGTGCTGGGTGTCTTGGTTTCTTCTGGCTTGTCAGTCCTCACTCCTGCTATTTCAATCCAGAGGCTCCTCTCAGCCTCCTCATCCTCTCACTGGTATCTTGCTGTTTGCTGTCTCTGCCTCTACTGACATTTCTGTCCCTCTTGCTGTTTCTGTTCCTCCCTGACAGGGGTTGTCCTTGGTTTCTGTGCCTTTGGTTTTTGTTTCCTCTGTCTTTCATCTCTCTCTCTCTCTCTCTCTCTCTCTCTCTCTCTCTCTCTCTCTCTCGTATTTCTTTATAACTTTTGTTGCTACCTTCTTTCTGTTCCTCTTTCTACATTTATTTTTGTGTCTCTTGTCTCCCTCTTTTTGCTTCCCATAAGCTTCTCTTTGGTTCTTCCCCTCTCTCCCTCCATGGCCATGGGCTCCCTAAGGGTCCCAGACCCTGCTTCCCTTACCATATGGCAGGTGCAGAGGCTGTGATGCCAGCCCAACATCTTGTTGACCAGCTCTTTCCTCATTCTGTGCCCAGTGATGGAGCCTCCTGTCATCACCGAACAGTCTCCACGGCGCCTTGTTGTCTTCCCCACAGATGACATCAGCCTCAAGTGTGAGGCCAGAGGCAAACCTGAAGTGGAGTGAGTGGTCCCTGCCCTCTGAGCCTCTGTTGTTGACTACCAGTCTCTGCCTCCAGCCCTCACACCTCCCTGGGCCACTGAGACCTCCCCCACAGTCCTGAGTCCTTGTTTCCATGCCCATCCCTTGGGGTCCTGTGGCTATTCACACCCTTGCCTCTGGCCTGTCCCAACACTGTCCTTGGTGCCAGGACCTGTGGCCTCTGAGCCCTTTTCTGCCCACAGGTTCCGCTGGACAAAGGATGGAGTCCACTTCAAGCCTAAGGAGGAACTGGGTGTGACTGTACATGAGGCACCCTACTCTGGCTCCTTCACCATCGCGGGCAACAACAGCTTTGCCCAGAGATTCCAGGGCGTCTATCGCTGCTTTGCCAGCAATAAGCTGGGCACTGCTATGTCCCATGAGATCCAGCTCATGGCTGAGGGTGCGAGGCACTTTGGGGACCAGGGAGGGGCTAGGGTACCTGAGAGGCATCTTCAGACAGGTTTCAAGCTGGTATGGGGCTCTGTCCCTCACTGTCACTGTCCCTCAGCTGGTTGGTTAGCACAGGAGTGGCCCCAGAAAGTCCCATTGCCTCTTCCTTTTTTCTCTAGCAGTCTCCACCATCCTCACCCTGTCCTTCTTTATCTGCTGAACTTCTGCTCCTCTTGTGTCCCCTTCCTTCTCTCAGTCTTTCTCAGTGCAACCTAGCACAGGCTGCCAGTGGGCTGGGGGTTGGGAAGTGTGATTGCCCTGGTGCCTGCCTTTTCCCACTGTGGCCAGCCTTGTCTGAGTCACTCCCTGACTTAAGCTTAGGGACTTGTCCTCATTTCCTCCTCAACCATTCTCAGGTCATCCCTGTCCATCTCTGCCACTTATCTAGTGCCTCCTCTCTCAGCTTTCCCACTTTGGTCTCTTAGAGTCCATCACTGCACCCCTGACTTGGCTTCTCTCTCTCTCTCTCTCCTTCCTGATCCCATGCTCTGCCTTTATCTGTGCCACCCTTCCCTCAGGTTTCTCCTTCACATTCCATCCTCCCTGAGTTTTCTGCCTCCTGAGCACTCTCCTTTCCTCCCCTTCAGTTACCTTGGGAACCGTTGCCATGGTTTCCATGTCAGGATGATGGAAGGGTCTGTGACTCCTGCATCCATCCACGGCTCCCCTCCCCCATTATTGCACTCAGCCTCCCCCCACTCATCCTCGTCCTTTCCTCTGGGTGGGCAGGGAGAACTAGGAATTGTGGAGGGTTAACCCTTCATGGTCACCCAGCCTCCTGCTCATTTCTTCTCCCCATGGGGTGCCGGTCTCCACCATGAGCCCAAAAAGGACGCAAAGTCTCTGCTTCCCTTTATGTGAACTTCCTCCCAGCCTGGCCCTCTCATCCCCATGTCTGCCCCCAGGATAACCCTCCATCCTTTCTCCTGTCCTGTATTATCTTGACCAGGAGGAGAGTGCCAGCCTCTCTATCCCTTCTAGGTGCCCCCAAGTGGCCAAAGGAGACAGTGAAGCCCGTGGAGGTGGAGGAAGGGGAGTCAGTTGTTCTGCCCTGCAATCCCCCACCCAGTGCAGCGCCACTGCGGATCTACTGGATGAACAGCAGTGGGTGCCAGCAAGGGGCTGTGACCTGGGGCTGGAGTGTTGGTCAGGGATCTTCCCCTGGACAAGAATCCTGACCTCTACTTCCTTGCCGTCTCCACAGAAATCTTGCACATCAAACAGGATGAACGAGTGACCATGGGCCAGAATGGCAACCTCTACTTTGCCAATGTGCTCACCTCAGACAACCACTCAGACTACATCTGCAACGCCCACTTCCCGGGTACCCGAACCATCATTCAAAAGGAGCCCATTGACCTCCGGGTCAAGGCCAGTGAGTCTCAAAGTCTCTGACCCCCCCCCCCCACTCCTCTCTCTCCTTCAGGCCTGACATGTTCCACCATAGATGGATCTGACAACCCTATTCTTGCCCAAGGACAATTTGGCTCCTGCCTCCACCTTTCCCAGATCCCTTCCCAGGTGGCAAGAGCAGAGATGGGACATTCTTTTTAACAGAGGAGGAAATCAAGGTCCAGGGGCTCACTGGGGTATCCAGAGTCCCCCAGCTTTGTGACTCCAGGTCACTTACTCCCTTTCTCCTGGCAGCCAACAGCATGATTGATAGGAAGCCACGCCTCCTTTTTCCCACCAACTCCAGCAGCCACCTGGTGGCCTTGCAGGGGCAGCCCTTGGTCCTGGAGTGCATCGCTGAGGGCTTGTGAGTCTGGGTGCCTGGGGTAGAGGAGGGATGGGATTGGGCAGCCCCAGCAGGGGCTTGGACCTCTGGGCTGAGTGGCCTTGTGCTCTCTCCCCTCTCTTCTCCTGTGGCCTCTCTGCACTATGGCCCTGGGCAGCCCCACACCTTCCATCAAGTGGCTACGCCCTAGTAGCCCCATGCCAGCAGACCGTGTCAGCTACCAGAACCACAACAAGACCCTGCAACTGCTGAATGTGGGCGAGGAAGATGACGGCGAGTATCGCTGCTTGGCTGAGAATTCTCTAGGAAGTGCCCGGCACGCCTACTATGTCACCGTGGAGGGTACGGGCTTCTGCCAGGCATACTATCCCCAAGTTGCCATAGGCTCCCCAGAATGGCCTCCAAGGATGGCAGGCAATGCACTGTCACTAGGGAAGGCAGGATGTGCACCAGGGACAACAGCAGGCTGTGGGCTCAGGGTACTTCTCTCCTTCTTCTTAAGCTGCTCCATACTGGCTGCATAAGCCCCAGAGCCGTCTATACGGGCCAGGAGAGACTGCCCGCCTAGACTGCCAAGTCCAGGGCAGGCCTCAACCAGAGGTCACTTGGAGAATCAATGGAATCCCTATAGAAGGTGAGCAGGACCTTGGGAAGGGGAGAGGTGGGTGAGTCCTGGGGACTGTTGGGAGGAAAAGGAAGGGGAAGGGGACCTCCGCACAGCTCAGTGCTTTACCCTGGCCCCATGGGGCCCCATCGGTTGCACACAGAGTTGGCCATGGACCAGAAATACCGGATTGAGCAGGGTGCCCTGATCCTGAGCAACGTGCAGCCCAGTGACACAATGGTGACCCAGTGTGAGGCCCGCAACCGGCATGGGCTCCTCCAAACCAATGCCTACATCTATGTTGTCCGTGAGTGCCAGCCAACTATGTAGTCTACCCACCCACCTTCACTTCCTTGCCTTGTAACCCCCAGTCTGTCCCTGCAGCTCACCAAAATGACTCAGTGTGAAGCTGATGTGTCCCTGGCTTATCTTCTCCATCCTCGCAACAGCTGTGGGGAAAGTATAGCAAGGCAGGGTTTTTTCCCCACAACCGAGCATTCACCCAGGGCAAAATGTGACTCCAACCAGTCTGAAGAGGAAAGACTTGAGGATGGGTTGGGAAGGGTTTCAGGAAAAGGCAGACTGCTAGCTGGGCCTCGAATAATTGGTAAAACTTGCATGGCTGGAATGGAGCCCATGGAGGCAGAGGGGACAATGCTTCTGAAGGTACAGAGAGGTAGCCCGGAGCAGGGAAGCCCAGTGTGCAGGGCTCCTGGGGGCCTGAGGATGCTGGGTGGAGAGATATGGCTTCTATCACGCCTGTGGCCGGGTCCTGCTCCACCTCCTGACGCTATTCCTCCCCCAGAGCTGCCAGTCAAGATCCTGACAGGAGACAATCAGACATACATGGCGGTGGAGGGCAGCACTGCATACCTGCTGTGCAAGGCCTTTGGAGCTCCTGTGCCCAGTATCCAGTGGTAAGTGCCTCATCCCAGGGGGAGCCTTTAAAGCCATTATCTTGTCCCGGGAGCCCAGGCAGGCAGGGAGCCCCTGCCAGTTGGTACAAGCCAGGCCCACCCGCTTGCTCTAGGCTGGATGAGGAAGGCACGACCGTGCTTCAGGATGAACGCTTCTTCCCTTATGCCAATGGGACCCTGGGCATCCGAGACCTCCAGGCCAATGACACTGGACGCTACTTCTGCCAGGCTGCCAATGACCAAAACAATGTGACCATTGTGGCTAACCTGCAGGTTAAAGGTCTGCTGTTGCTCCCACAAGGCAGCACTCTGAGAGGAAGGGAGGGTCACGGTTTCTGAAGGACATCAGAGTGACCCTCTCTCCACTTTATCACCCTCAGAAGCAACGCAGATCACGCAAGGGCCCCGGAGTGCAATTGAGAAGAAAGGCTCAAGGGTGACATTCACATGCCAGGCTACCTTTGACCCCTCCTTACAGCCCAGCATCACCTGGCGAGGGGATGGGCGAGACCTTCAGGAACTTGGGGACAGTGACAAGTGAGAGTCCAACCCCAACCTGGACTGGGTGGAAGGGGGCAGAGTGAGAAAAGTAGCAACTCCAGAACTCCTGACCCTCTCTGTGCAGTGAGCCTCCTGCTTAGAAGGAGAGGTTCTGGCAGGAGAAGGAAAAGGAGGCAGGGGTGAAGAGAGGGGCCCAGATGGCAGGGAAGTGATGTGACTGCTGGGCACCAAGGACAAACACGGCTGCCTCCCCAGGTACTTCATAGATGATAGGCGCCTGATCATCCACAGCCTGGACTACAGTGACCAGGGCAACTATAGCTGTGTGGCAAGCACAGAGCTGGATGAGGTGGAGAGCAGGGCACAGCTCTTGGTGGTCGGTAAGTCCTAGGATGGTACTAAGTATGTTGCCTGGGGGAACTGGAGGGTGCAGCCTCCAGGCCCAGGAGGCCCAGGCTCATGTTGCTGGCCCTTTCAAAGTATGGTACATGGCTCTTGAGGGGGCCAAAGAATTCACCCTCTATTGCCTTCAGGGAGCCCTGGGCCTGTGCCTCATCTGGAGCTGTCTGATCGTCACTTGCTGAAGCAGAGCCAGGTGCACCTATCTTGGAGCCCCGCAGAAGACCACAATGCCCCCATTGAGAGTAAGAGATCCCCCACCTTCACCCCTGCCAACCCTCCCTATTGCTTGGGTCCCCCCCTCTTCCTAGGGCTGTGGCTCCATCCAGGGCACCCCTTCCGCTACACTCTCTGCTAAGTGACATGCTGAACACATCATTGCTGGTTCGCTTCTTTGCAGAGTATGACATTGAATTTGAGGACAAGGAAATGGCACCTGAGAAATGGTATAGTCTGGGTAAGGTGCCAGGAAACCAGACCTCTACTACCCTCAAGCTATCGCCCTACGTCCACTACACCTTTAGGGTAACTGCCATCAATAAATATGGCCCTGGAGAACCCAGCCCAACTTCTGAGACTGTGGTCACACCTGAGGCAGGTGAGCTCAGGCAGCACCCTCTCTTCTGGGCCCCCTAAAAGGGATATCAAGAGCTACGGTCCCAGATTCTGGAGGGAGGGCCTGGACAGGTGTTATGCCCATGCTCTTCTGGTTCCAAATTTCCAGGGGAAGTGAGGGAGTGCTACCTTGAGGCCACTGGCTCATTGCTTCGGGGACAAGAATGGGTCATTTGTCCTTGGTCCCCAGCCTTAGCCTTCATAGTCTGCGGCAGGAAGCTGAAGCATTAATATGTTATCACAATATTTTCCAGCCCCAGAGAAGAACCCTGTGGATGTGAAAGGGGAAGGAAACGAGACCAACAACATGGTTATCACATGGAAGGTGAGGGTCCCTGGACTGACTCACCCCTGGACATGAGGCTTGGACCCAGGCATTTGCTGCCCCTGGACTGTATTAAGGAGGAAGCCAATGATTGGAGACATCTAGGTTTATATGGGTAAAGGACAGGGCACAGAAGGCAGGAGCTCTTGACCAACCAGCTCCTTTTCTGCTGGCCCCCTCCAGCCACTCCGATGGATGGACTGGAACGCCCCTCAGGTCCAGTACCGTGTGCAATGGCGTCCTCAGGACACACGGGGGATCTGGCAGGAGCAGACCGTGAGCGACCCCTTCTTGGTGGTGTCCAACACATCCACCTTTGTGCCCTATGAGATCAAAGTCCAGGCCGTCAACAGCCAGGGCAAGGGCCCTGAACCCCAGGTCACCATTGGCTATTCCGGGGAGGACTGTGAGTATTGGTGGGGCCCCACCAACACCCAGTGTCAAGCCTCTGTGCATCTCAGTGTGTGGACATACACTGCTCACTCCCCACCCACAGTGCCAGCCCCTACCTGTCACTTCTCAAGTCCAGAATTCCTACAAATAAGGACATTCTTTTACATAAGCAGAGTGATGTTATAAAATTCCAGACATTTCATGTTGATACAATGCATTTCTGTAGTTGGCAGTCAGTATTCTAATTGTATCAACCGTCATAGCATTTTATAGCATTCCTTCCTCTGGTGCGGGGATCTATTTTAGGCCAAGCATTCCTAATCCAAAAATTCAAAAGCCCCAAACCTGAAATGCTTCAAAATCACTCAAAAGTTTTTAGCTGGATTTGGTGGCACAAGCCTATAATTCCAGTGATGTAGGAGGCTGAGGCAGGAGAATCTCAAGTTCAAAGCCAGCCTCAGCAACTTAGCAAGGCCCTAAGCAACTTAGCGAGACTGTGTCTCAAGGTAAAAAGGGTTGAGGATGTGACTCAGTGCTTAAGCACCCATGGGTTCAATGCCTGATCCTAAGCAAGGAAAAAAAGATTTTTTTTGAATTCCATAAGAGGAAAAGTGACCTCATGTGATGGATTACTCAAAACAGACTCACTAAAAGTATCATAGTATAAAATTGCCTTCATTCTATGTGTATAAGGCAGCTCAGTGGTGGAGTGCTCATCTAACATGCACTAAGACCTCGGATTCCTTTCCCAGCACCACAAGAGAGCTCGTCTCAAAGTTATCCCATGAGCTATATACAGATACTCCAGACTCTGAAAGGATATGAAATGCACAACACTTCTGGTCCCAGCATTTCACGTACAAGTTGTCTTGCCTCTTATGTTCCCTTGAATCTGGAACTTGAGCAGAATTGAACTTTGATCACCTGGTCAATCCTTTCTTGAGTTTTTCTGTGTAACTAAACTATTTTCTCCTTGGAGCAACCTTGAGACCATGCAAACACTGCTCCTCATTGAACTGCCCCTCACATAGCATCCAAATCCATCTGCCCAGTGGGGGAAGGGCTCTAGGCTGGCCTCAGAGCCTGGGTGAGGGCCTGTGGCCTTCTCCAAGTCTCTGTTTTCAGACCCCCAGGTAAGCCCTGAGCTGGAAGGCATCAAGATCCTCAACTCAAGCACTGTGCTGGTCAGATGGTGGCCTGTGGACTTGGCCCAGGTCAAGGGTCACCTCCGGGGATACAATGTAAGGGTTCCAGGCACGGACACAGGGAGATCCCCAGGATGAAGTGACGGGATTGAGGGTGGGGTTCTGCCATCTGCCAGCAGCTCTCCTGAAAGTCCTTGGGTTGGGAGGAGAGGATCCTGATGGAGGTGGTAGGGGGCATGCACTGGCAGTCCCTGCCTGCCAGGTGCCTTCTGCCCTATGACGTCTCCTTCCACCTGTGCAGGTGACATACTGGTGGGAGGGCAGCCAGAGGAAACACAGCAAGAGGCATGTCCACAAAAGCCATGTGGTAGTACCCGCTAACACCACCAGTGCCATCCTCAGTGGCCTGAGGCCCTACAGCTCCTACCATCTAGAGGTGCAGGCCTTTAACGGGAGGGGATTGGGGCCTGCCAGTGAGATGACCTTCAGTACCCCAGAGGGAGGTGAGTCCGGCTCCTCAGACTCCCATCCTCTGCCTCTTCTCCCTGGATATGGGTGAGGATCTGCCACTCTTCTCTGCCCTATAGTACCTGGCCACCCTGAGGCATTGAACCTGGAGTGCCAGTCAGACACCAGCCTGCTGCTGCACTGGCAACCCCCGCTCAGCCACAATGGCGTGCTCACTGGCTATGTGCTCTCGTACCACCCCCGTACGTGCACTGTATCCAGAAGGGAGGCTGAGGGGACATGGGAGGGGGCATATCTGGCAGCAAATCCAACCCTAATTCGTCCCTGCAGTGAATGCAGGAGACAAGGAGCAGCTGTCCTTTGACCTTCCGGACCCTGAGCTTCGGACACACAACCTGACCAACCTCAGCCCCGGCCTGCGGTACCACTTCCAGCTTCAGGCAACCACGAAGGAAGGCCCTGGCGAGGCCATCGAGCGGGAAGGAGGCACCATGACCTTGTCTGGTGAGCCAGAGGCAGGGCCTGCTGGGTGCTGGTCTTCATGGCAGCAGAGGGGTCTGATGAGGCCCTGGCTGGAAGCTGAGCCCAGAAGGGTGGACCTTTAGGCTACCTGGCAGGCTCCCCACTCTCTTCTCACTTTTGCACCCCACAGGGGTACCAGATTTTGGTAACATCTCGGCCACAGCAGGTGAAAACTACAGTGTCATCTCCTGGGTTCCCAAAGAAGGCCAGTGCAACTTCAGATTCCACATCCAGTTCAAAGCATTGAGAGGTAAACACAAGGACCCTTGGGGCAGGGGCAGGGGACAGGGCTCAGGGCCCAGAGGGGTCACCCAGCTCTGCTGCTTCCCCTGATGGAACGGTCTCTGTCTGTACAGAAGGAAAGGCTATCATTGATCCCCCACGGCAATATGTCAGCTACAACCAGAGCTCCTACACTCAGTGGGACTTGCAGCCTGACACCAAGTATGAGATCCACCTGCTGAAGGAGGAGGTGCTCCTGCGCCAGATGGCTGTGAAGACCAATGGCACCAGTAAGGCACCGGGTACCCACCACTGCCTGCCAGGGAGTCGCCGGTGCTGCTGCCCAGTTGGCTACATTTACCCTCTACCAGCTGGGCCCCACTCCGTGGTTCCCTTCCCTCTTCCCAGAATCCGGGTACCCTTGGGTCCATGCCCTTGTTAGTACTCTCTTCAGTGAGGGCCCTCCTGCCTTCCTGCCTGCTTCCTGTCCCATCTCCTGGCCCTAGATGGCCTCCTGAAACTCCAGTGGGCCTGAGCACAAGGCCCTGGCTTGGAGGCTTGGCTTGGGCCCAGGGGCTGTACTGGCTTCCTGGAACCTCCAGCTCACCCCAGGCCTGGGCTCTGTTGTCTCAGACCCCGTGAGATTCTCCTCCAATAACTTTGCCATGGAGGGCTGGTTCATCGGCTTCGTCTGTGCCATCATCCTCCTGCTCCTCATTTTGCTCATCCTCTGTTTCATCAAGCGCAGCAAGGGCGGCAAATACTCAGGTAATCCTGAACCACACAGGTTGAGGGTGGGGGCAGTGAGAGGAGTCTTGGCCCACCTCGCCCCTTTGTACTTTCTACAAGCCCTCCCCGAGTCCCTGTGTCCCTCCGCTTCTGTCAGGTCAGCAGGGCATGGTGGGAGCAGGTCAGGGTGACCTTCCTCACAGGTTGGGGCTGAGAGGATCACCCTGAAGGCACTTGGCACAGAGGGGCATAGAGTCCAGGGTCAGTCTGGAGTGGGAGAGAAAGCTGGCCCCTCTCTGTGTGTCTTCAGTAAAGGACAAGGAGGACACCCAGGTGGACTCTGAGGCCCGGCCGATGAAAGATGAGACCTTTGGCGAATACAGGTGAGCCAGGGGCAGGACTGGGGCTGGCACCAACTCCATCTGCCTTTCGTATCTGATCTTCTCTCTCTCTCTTCTCTGCTGCTGGGTGACTTCAGGTCCCTGGAGAGGTAAGGTGGGGTGGTGAGGGTGGACTATCACACTGGAACAACAGGGGACCCCTTCCATGGACAGTGCATGCCTAGGAGTGCCATTGTCCCCTGGTAGCTTCTGATTCCCCAGCCCTCTGGCGTAGCAGTTCCCATTTCAGGGTGAGGCCAGAATGCCCAGGTGTTCCACCTCAAGCTAACATCCCAGCTGCTAGGCCTGGCTGTCACCTTCCCACCTGCCCCTCTCCTCAAGGGAGTCCCTGGCAGTGGGTACATACAAGTGAGGAACCAGGCCCTGGGAATCCCCCACCAGACTGTGTCCAGTGGCTCCTTCAGCCTCCAGGATCCTAGGAGTACCCAAGCCTGGCCCCTGGTATCATGTATGCAACATGCCCTCCTGGGAGTGTGTCCAGCATGAGCTCCTGGAGCTGCCTGCCGGGTCAGGGCCTCCCCAGCACTCTCACTTGCACCCTCCCCGCTACCTTGCAGTGACAATGAGGAGAAGGCTTTTGGCAGCAGCCAGCCCTCTCTCAACGGAGACATCAAGCCCCTGGGCAGTGACGACAGCCTGGCTGATTATGGGGGCAGTGTGGACGTCCAGTTCAATGAGGATGGCTCCTTCATTGGCCAGTACAGTGGCAAGAAAGAGAAGGAAGCAGCAGGAGGCAATGACAGCTCAGGGGCCACCTCCCCCATCAACCCTGCTGTGGCCCTAGAATAGTGAGGCAAGGTGGGCCAGAGGTGCAGGAAAGCCAGTGGCCAAGACACCCAGCCCAATACCTGTGCTGTGCCACTGACATTGGGATCGAGGCCCCTTCCTTTCTATAGGCCCGTGGGAAGCTTGAGTTGGGGTTGAGGAACTCGCTGCCTCTAATCCCCTTCTTACCACCTGGTCCCCACTTTATTGCCAAAACTCAGCTGCACCCCTTCCTGGACACACGCTGCTTTGCTCCAGCTTGGGGGCAGATCACCCACATGTCAGGGACCTTTGGGTGCTCCCCTGCCAGCCTGTTTGGGCAGAGAGGCCATGGTTTTTGGGAGAGGAAGAAGGGGTGGCCTTGGAAAGGTCTCTGAGAAGCCATCCTTGTTGCTCCCTGATTGGGGGCAGGTGTGGTGGGGACTTCTCTAGAGCAGGGTTGGCACCTCCCCCTCCTCCAGCCATTCCCTGGCCACTTGACTGGGGACAGAACTCGGTGTCCCCACCATCTGTTCCCTTTTCTTTGCCATCTTTGCTCCAACTGGGACAGGAACTGGGCAAGCTGGCCATGGGTGCAGGGGAGGCCATCTGGAGAGCCCGGAGTCCCCGCCCCCCAATAGCACACTGGGTCCACATGCCCTCCTCCTGCCATGGCCGGCTTTCAGGAGCTCCATACACATGCTGCCTTCGGTACCCACCAGACAACATCCAAGTGGCCTCTGTCACTGCCGGGGCGGGCACACCTCCTCCCACTGCCCACCGGCCCAGCTTCTACCCCTAGCAGCCCTGCCCACCCCCAGTTCTCTTCCTCAGCCTCCTCCCACCCTCCACCTTGGGAATGTACATACACCGTGACTTTGAAAGTTTGTACCCTTGCCCTCTCCCCATATGCCACTAGTGTGTAGGCAGATGTCTGAGTCTCTAGGTGGTTTCTAGGTTTTATAGCAATTAGCTTTGATGATCCCACCCCAGAAAAAATAAAAACAGACAAAAAAGAAAAAAAAAAAGGAAAGATTGGTTCTCCTAGCACTGCTGTGCCCCTGCCCAGCAGCTACAGCCTCCCTGTATGCCTTGCTTGGTCTGTTGATGAGCCCTCTTCAAAAAAACAAAGTATATATATATATGTACATAAACATCAGAATTATAACAGGCAAATAAAACCTGGAAATGCAGAGAACTTTTTGTCATTTTACTGAGCACTTCCTTTCCTATGTCTGTCTGTGTCCCACACTTTGGAGGCCCCAGCAATCAGTTCAGATCTCCTGCCAGCTGGCCCGTGTGGCTCAGGCATGTGACCCTGCACCTTCCAGAGATGGAAGTGCACCTAGGCTGACAGGCCTTGCTATCCACCCCTTGGGGCCCCAGAGACAAGCTTTGGTTCTTATCATGGTTGGGCCCCCATTCCCAAAGCTGGTAGACACAGGAGCAGAGTCCCAAAATTCTGGTCCCTTGACCTGCAGCTTATTGGCCAGTCAGTCTCTCTTTGCTATTCAACATGACACAGCTACCAAGGCCACCTAGAAGCATCAACCTGATTCCCTGGTTCAGGGAAGCAGCATGATGTGCCCTGGTGGAGTGACCTCCCTGAAGCACTTTTAATGAGCCTACAGGGAGACACAGCCTTCCCTGGGATTTTGGGGAGTCCATTTTGTCCCTGGCTCTCCAAGGTGTCACACCATTCACAACAACTCTAGTCCCTGCTCTCAGATGAGGACTTTTTCTTATCTTTAACTGAGCAGGTGGAAAGCATCAGAAGAAAATGTTTTCCATCTTGTTCCCTACTGCCCAATCTGTCTGCCCCAGCCCCAGGCCCCTCCCACTGGGCACCCCTCCAACCGCCATGACCCACTTGAGCATTCTCTCCATCTGTATCTGATTTTCCATCCCCGCTGCATCACTCCTATTAGCCGAAAAAGCTGTTGAAACAGGTTCAAACACCCCCTCCCAACACTGACTGTCCTTTAAACCCCCCAACTCTTGCCCCTTCTCCGCTCCTATTGACAGCAAAACCCCTTAGACTTGGCTACTCTTTTTTTCCCCACTTGATCTCCATGCATAATAGCCCAATAACTGCTTGCTTTTTTATAATAGTCTTTTAGCTTGGGAACATGGTGGCTCAGCCTCTTTTCCCAGACTTCTCTGTGCCTCAGTGGAATTATGCTATGAAGTTCAGGTGGGTGGAGTGTGGAATGTGAACATGTGTGCAATCACTGGGCTCTGCCCTTACAGAAGTGGGACAGAAATGTGAGGATGGGCAAAGAGAAGCTGCTGGGAGCACCAAACAGAAATTGGACATTGAGGATGGCCGAGCCCATCACCAGGGACCCTCTGGGCCTGATGATCTGGAGCTGCCATATTGTCTCTGGTTTGCCTCTCTGGATCTTTTAAACACTTTTTTTTTCCCTCTGCCCTGGAGATGGAACCCAGGTAAGCTATCTGAGCCCAACACACTCTATTTTTTTAGAACAGTTTCATGGTTTACACACCCCCTCACTCTACCCTCAATGGTTTAGTCATAAACACCTTGCGTTTGTCATAACTGATGAGCCGATAGTGACACCATTGTTAACTGAAGTCCACAGCTGACGTTAGGGTTCTCTTGGGTGTGTGTTTTATGGGTTTGAACAAATGCATGGCATGAATCTGCCATTACAGTACCATACACAGTAGTTTCACTGTCCTGAAAATCCACTAAGGATGTCTTTATCGAGGGCTAACATGCATCAAATAAAGTACACACCTGCAGGGCACAGTAGTGCAAGCCGGTTACCCCAATGATGAAAAGAAGCTGAGGCAGGAGTATCGCAACTTGCAGGCTGACCTCAGCAACTTAGCAAGATCCTGTCTCAAAATAAAAAATTAAAAGGGCTGGGGATGTGGTTCAGTGGTAGATCACCCCTGGGTTCAATCCTCAGTACCAAAAAAAAAAAAGAAAGAAAGAAAGAAAGAAAAAGAACCATACATGCCTGATATTTTTTATCTCTGTATCTCCCCATGAAATCACCAAAGTATAGGATTTATTTCTTTGGGTGCAGGGTACTGGGGATTGAACCCAGGGGCACTTAACCACTGAGCCACATTCCCCAGCCCTTTATATATAT